GAAGTGAATTTTTTTTTTCAGGGTGCAAAATGGTGTTATTTAGGTTCCTGAAAGTATTACAGAAAAGAGATGCATGAAAGAATCTAAAAGTTTAAAGAGCTGGTTAGTTCTGTCTGGTTTTAGATGCTCATGGTAGGCTCAGGGTAACCATAAGTGGAGAAATACCAACGCAATATTGAAAGAAGGCATAGACTTTCATTTTTACATTATCCTCTGTTTTCAACTGCCTGGTTTGTGTGTTTGCTCTTTCAAGAAACTCTCTTACTTAGGTAAAAGAAGGAAAGTGAGAATTGAAGTATTTTAAAATACTTTTACTCTGCACATGAAAATTTATTAATTTTTATACTTGCATGGGGAACAAGGTGTTGCTCATAGCAGAGCATGTGTCTTATCTGTATTTACTGATTGGTGGGAAATGTTGAATCCTCCTAGCAAAGCAGTTTTTAAACTGCCAGTTCTGTGTTGTGTATTGAGAGCTCTCTGTCTTCTGAATTACTGTTCCTGGCCTTGCAACTTGACATTTATGCTTTCGGTTAAATATTTCAGTTTTCTGATTTAAAAAAAAACAACAACAAAACACACAAAAAAACCACCCAAAAAACCTCAAACCCCACAACTAAAAAAACAGTAGTAAACTTGTCCCTTAATCTAAATTTGCATATGTTGCGGACATGATTTGGCATGTAAAGGGACTGGCCAAAAATATGGCAGTAGTTTTATTTGTTTTGAGATTTAAATTTCACAAAGCTTTTTAAGTATGCATAGGCAGCTATCAACCTAGTAGAAAGCTTTATAGTTAGAGTTGCAGAGAGCTTGGAGGACAATGACTATGAATAGGAATAAGCATGAGTGGTGTAATCTGAGAAGCAAAAGAGAGAGACAGAAGAGAGTTTAAGATTTAACTATGTCGAAAACATTATGAATGGGTCTGGGAGGATTTTGCCGTTTGATGGTAGGTGTGGGACTTTACCCATTAGTTTTGGTAAAAACAAACAAAAATAAACTCTGTTTTACAAAATTTGCAAATTTCCTTTTATCTTCTCAAAACAGGAAATAAACTGTTCTGGGGTAGCTGAGCTAATGAAGCCTGATTTCTGAAATTGTTCTGTCTCCCAAATCTTTTTCTGCAGTACTCCCTCCTATTCCTCTACAGCATCTGCAGTTCCTCCCTATGGGACCTGTAGCTTCCCGAGTATCTACTGTTCCCTCCAACCAATCTAGTCCATGGCCCTGATGTTCCCTGTGATACTGTCCCCTAAATACTCCTAGATCGTCCTGTCCTTTATATTCCTTTTTTCTGCTTTTCCTGCTACCTGGACAAAAGGCAGCATGTGCTGTGGCTGGTACGGATCTACATGAGCTCTTCCTGCTTTTCCTCATTGGAGCACTGACTTTGGTCTCTCTTCTACTCAGCTCTGATTTTCATTTCTGGAAATTAATCTCTGCAACTGCAACCCTCCTTCAAGTTTGGTTGAAGTTGGACAACAGTATCTTAGAGTGAGACTGAGAGAAAACAGCTGAAAAAAGTCCTACTCTTCCTCAATTCGCTCTGAGTATTTTTTTTTAAATATTTTACTCTGCACATTCATGAGTGAAATTGGTGTTTTTCTCTATTTTCTTATCTTCAGCAAACATTACTAGTATAAGCCAATGTATCATATTCTATTTAACTTATTATTTAATAAAACACAAACCATATTAAATACCCCCAAAAAACTTTAGTTAACGTCAAAAATATAGCTATATATGGAGAATATTAAATGTATATCTATATTCCACACTTCAGTGTCCTTTCTGAAAAAAATTCAGTGCATCAGATTTTCCCCAACTCCTCTCAAGAATCAAACCTGCAGAGTGATTACCTTTTCTTTAGCCAGTGCTACAGAATCGGTGAGTATGTGAAGAATTTTCATCTGGATTTCTCCTTGTCCCACGTGTTTTGGATGGGCAGACTAGACAGTACTCTGATTTTACCCAGTAAAAACTGGGTTTACTAATTTATCCATATGGATGCTTGAATTGCTTTATATATGAGCAGAATACTTTTTATCACCCCAAGCTCATGGAAGGTTACCTTTTCGATATTAAAACTATACCTCCACATTATTGCAGTCACTGAAGATTCTCCTTACTTCATGACATAGCTACATTTTATCTGTTGCCAGTCGCTCCAGCTGGGGAGATTTTTTCAATTTCATTATGTTAAAACCTACTGTGTTTGTCCCGTAAGATATGATTTATTATTAATAAATGCTATGCCTTTCACGGCTCCTTCTAGCAATCTAGAGAGGAGTGTTATTTCTTGTTCCTGTTTCTTAGGTGGCTGGGCTTCCTGCGTTGTTACGGTTTCTGCGGGATAGGTTCAGTAAGAGCCAACGTGTCCTGTCATTTCTCTTCTCTTGGGCTGGGGGAGCAGGTTTGTGGGGTTCTGAGGGAGTTGTGTTTTTTTTTTTTTTGTAATGAAAAACACTACTCTTGTTCCACTTTTGTAAGCATCCTTCCCGAGTGTCTTCTAGATCAAGGCAGTCATAGCTAATGCTTTGAAGTATAATCCAGCAGGCAAATTTATCTCTATTTTTAGATATATCATGCATTTGTGTGTTAGGGTTGCCCAATTCCCATCTCTGATGAAGAGCTGAGATACAGAAACTGTTTTAGCTTAATCTTGGTCATTTAAAGCTCTCAAGTTGAAATGAAGGAATTTCCACTGATGAGGGTGTTTTTTTAAATGTAACTTGAATCCTGATATTGAAAATAATATGCCCTCTATTTTACTTTGACAATTGAATCTTGAGTTCCTAGTAAGTACGTGAGTGTTTGGGATTCCACGCAAATGTAGCTGCACCAGCTTTTAATTGTTATTTCTACAACTGTACTCTAATGTAAACAGGCAGTTAGTTAGAATTACTTGTTTTCAGTAACAGCTGAGCTTGCTCACTTAGAAACAGCATTACATTGAGGTATTTTTTGGTCAGCTAAGGGCAAAATTATCTGCTTTTTGCAGAATGTAGTAGCGGAATGTCTTGATGTTCTGGTTTAAGGTGTTTGCTCTTAAAAAAGCACAAGAAGACGTGTGACCTTCTCTCTCTTACCTGTTGCTCACGGTATTCTCCAAAGGGCTATTTAATAAGTCATAGTGTTCCCTTGTCTTTTTAGTTAAGGCACGAGAATCTAATCATCTCTCCCAGCTGCACCCGTGTAGCCTCCCAGGAGTGGTGGGTGAACTAATGGAGCAGGCGGAGGTGTGCAGTGTTTCCTTCTGAGGTTCAGTGTGGTCCCAGTAGACGTTACATTTAGCCTGGAATGGCAACTTCACGGCTAGCTGGCAGATGTACCACTGTCTGCTTCAGAATTGGGATTTAAATGCTCTCTTCTTGTCTGTAGGTCCACGTGCATAGATACACTTTTGTTTCCTTCAAGTTGAGGCATTTTTATTCTGTTTTGACAATACAATTATTCATATAAGATAAATTTTCATATTAATTAGAAAATGTTGCGAGGAAATGGGTATCAGTGAAGTAGGTTTCTTAGTAAAGTTTGTAATGAGAAAGGATGCCTTGCCCATATCTTGCTGGATTTTTTTTGTGGTTTGGATTTTTTTTTTTTAATAGATAAAAATGTGTAATGGGACACTTGGTAAGTTCAGAAAACTATGTGTAATACCTGTTTTAACCCTGATAATTTAAATAACCTAAAATGAACATACTAGCTACATTTGATTTAATGTGGCATTACTGTGGAAAAATTAAACTAATTGGTTTAATGAATTTTAATTTAATTGCATAACAGTGATTGGCATGGCTGCACGTATTTTGTGTTGCTTTTAACAGTTTAAGACTATTTAAGATGAAAGCTTACAGTTGTAATAACTTTTATAAAATAAGCAAAAGATAATTATCACAAGGACATAGCCATTTGCTGAAAAGATTTTATTAAAAACATTTAATATTTTTGATTTTCTGAAATGAGAATGTAATCACAGCACTGCATTATTTGTGATAAAACTGTAGGCGCAATGCAAAGCTGAGGAATTTATTTATTTTTTTTTTTCCTTAGTGAGAAAACTAAAGGAGAAAGGCTCAGTTAAGTACTCAAGGTTCTCAGGAAAGCTAATAATACTCTGGGTTGACCTACTATACAAGCCTCAAGTCCACGTGCAGGTCAGGAAGAGCAGTTCCAGTTCTCCTGTCCTGAATCTACACTTTGTGCACTTCCAAATATTTGGCAAAACAGTTGCAGAGGTCAGGGTCAGTAAGAATTTTAAGTCAAGTGTTTCTGATGCTTTGTCTCAATGTATTTTACAGCAAGCACCTTATACAACTTTCTGGAAGCTTTGCCTTATGGGGTTGTTTGGGGTTTTTTGTTGTTGAATTTCTATAGAGTAGGAAGTTACTGAATTTTCAGTACTGGGTTTTGAAGCTTACTAAAATAGATGCCTGTAAATTAGATGCAACCTTTTACTTTTGATATGTAAAAATGATTAATGTTGTTTCAAAATAGTTACTCATAGGAACATGTTCTGCTTATGCTGAACATTGTAGATAAAAATATGTTCTGTAATTTACACATAAGACGCTTAAAAATTGCAAATGTAATTATTTTGCCTCTTAGCTTTTTGAATTGAAAATGGGGGGGAACTGTGTCACTGGACTCTAGTTTCACCAAAGCATTGAGAATTCAGGATGCTCCATACTGCCTCTGTGTTTTGACATTGCTTAATTGGACAGTCTTCATTTTATGTAATTGCATCTTATGCAATCATATGTTTACTTTCCTTATGTTTATCACTGAAAAACTTCATAGTGTTCTGTTACCTCAGTATCTTTTTGACACCACTGGAAAAGAAGGGTCTAGAAAAAAAGGCTGAGTTTAGTAAAGCATTTCTGCTTATTTTACACAATCATAAGGAGGATTTGAAATAACAAAGGCAACGTACCGTCTGGCTTTTTTCGTTACAACTTTATGCATACTTTGGAAACATAAAAAGTGTTGTCCAAGAGGGGGAGGGAGGAAGAAGGGAAAGTAGACAGAAGTGATAGTCGTAGGTTATATCTATAAGGGATACTTAATAGGCATACATTATTTATTTATTTGTTTATTTCAAGGCCTACTAGGTATATCTCCCTTAGAGATAGAAAGTTTATCCAGTTCAGTCCCAGAACAAATACTTGTCAAATTTTAAAAATTTATTTCTCTCTATTCAGGTGAGACCTCTAATTTGTTAATTAAAATGAACAGATTCTATTCTGATAGTTTTGGAAAACTTAAACCCCGTAGGACAATATGAAAACAGTAAGTTTTTTTTCACTTAATTTTATTTTTAATAGTCTTGTTTGGGCATAGATTTGTTACTGAATGCAGAAGGTAAAATGATACATAGTTATGTAGACAAAGCAAAAATATTCTATAGATATTTTATTCCCTACAAAAAAAATTTGTATCCATCCTGTACAATGCTGCAACTAGAAAAGGAAGTTTAGCATCTGTGAGAAGAGCAAATATCAGGATCATTTGTTAGAATATGGCTATTTTCAAAACAAGAATAAATAATGGAGAAGAATCCCAAAAGAACTATGTGAGAAACGCTAGCGTTAGTTTATTTGTAATGCTTAGAAAAAGGGGAACAATTCCATTGCTTAAAGTAAGAGATTGCTCAGATTCTCGACATCAGATACGGGCGTTTTATTATTATTACTTATTATGGTTTCTTATTACAAGGGTGTATAGGTGTATACATTAATGGCCAGCTTAGCTTCACAGACAGTGAGATCTTGATGAATGAACCTCTGCCTTTTGGAAAGATTATAGATCTGATTGATAAAATAAACTGTTTTTGATATTTGATGTAATATCACATTATATTTTGATTTAAAAAATTGCATTGTGTGAAATTAACAGTGCATATATTAGGGGAATGTAGGAGCTGGCTTACTGATAGATCTCCTCAGTGCGGTGGTTAATAGAGGCAGTGAGTGGGACTACTTCTTGGAAAGCCTCCAGGGAACTGATGGTTACATATATAAAATCATTCTTTAGATTGCTGGCCCGATTTGATCTGAAACCCCTCTCCGCAAACTGGTCATGCAGTTAGTACTGGGAAGGTCAGGTTACTCTCTTAGACTGATCTGAATAATGCGTTTAAAAGTTGTACTTCAGAAATTTGGTTTAATACAGCTGAATGTGAGACAGTCTCACAGGAGTCAGAATGTAGATTGTATCCATCCAATTGGAAAAGGACTTAAGTCAATTAGTTACCTTGATATGCTTTTTTGTGGCAAAGAGACAAATGCAGGCTTGGATGCCTAAAAAAAGGCAAAGTGAAACCTTGGTAATAAAGTAGACTTCCAGCACTGGTGAGAGTGTGATTAAAATAGTATATCCCATGCTGGTGTCTTCACTTCATGAAGGTTGTGGAATTACTGGAAAGAATTTAAAAGAAAGGCCCCAGGAGTTGTACAAGGTTCCCAAGGAGGGTGTCCAACTGTAGCGCTGTGTGGGAAAGATCCCTAGAAATGAAGGCAGGCATTGAGATTCACTTCCCTAGCATTAGAGAGATTTTAATTGAAATAATCTGTTGGGGATGAAGAAGCCTCATTTGAGCTCTCTCGGGGAAGGACAGGTTTCATTTTAAATCACACTTCAGCTCTTGGGGATAGAGCTCTCCTGATGCGGGTGTGTGTGCTGGTGGTGCCCGCCCTGGCCGTGGGCAGCACGGAGCCTGCTTCGTGTGCTGTAAGCCACTCGCTTCCTTAGCACTGGCGTGCTTTGCTTTTGCTTTTATTACCCTGAACATCGTTATGATATATGCAATTCACTGCTGGTATTTGAAGCCCTGAAACCTTCGAGTCCTGTGTTTGCCTGCAGGCATCAGAGAGGTGGGAGAGTGCGGGGGTTGACTTTTGGCTTTGTTTTTTCCCAGCAGATAGTTTACTAGTTGTATTTTGTCACTATTTTTCCCTTCCTTCTGAAGCATCAAAGATTGAGCAGGATCTGAGGTGATGTCAGAAGGTCGTCCCTTGTGCCAGACTAGTTGATTCTTACTCACATGATCCAGATAAAATTAGTTGAAGAGCTTGAGATAAGAAAGAAACTCTTTCAGTAGGCACTGTTAGGTGTGTTTCCATTTTCTGCTGCATAAGACTTTTTTTACCTCCTTGAATTATTGGGGCAGACTTCTTGTAATCGGTTCTCTGCTATTGCAAGAGTCTTGGGTGCTCAGTCTCATCTCGTTTCAAACTCTGACTTTCAGGAAAAATTGTTTCATTTAAAATTTCGACTTTATGCTAAGGTATATGGAGAAGCACAGTGGCTTATGGTACACTGAAAGTATTCCACTATCCTCTCTGGCCTAAAATTCTTCAAAATACTTACTAAGTGTTTGTGTTACGTGAGTGTTCCTTGCTGTACCAAACTGCTAACTCAAGTAAAAGCCCTGATTTTGAAGTCTCTTCCGTACAGGCAGACATGTATGTGCCTGAGGAGGTGGCTTAATGGATTTAGTGGGACTCTGTGATTATGGATGTCTGTATTGTGAAAGAAATGGCAAAATTTCACCTGAGTGTGGAGAATTCAAATTGGTATGGTTTGAGTGCATTAGTATCTCTTAATGAAACCAAATATAGTTCTCTTCAATTCCATTCATTCTGGACCTTATCTCTTTTTCTGATACATCTCACTAGTTGCCAAGCAACCTCAGCAGTAGTTCAGCACATCCAGCCACATTGTGGGGGGGGGGAGAAGTAGCTCGTATTTGTTGCTGAAAATAAGATGCCTTCTGATGACATGAATGAAGAGAGTTATGAGAGAAGGAAATGAGGAGTGACAAGTTTGGAGCTGATGTTCTGAAAAAGCTAATAATATTTAGCACTTAAATAGTGCTTTTTATTTTCCAAGCACTAATCAAACAATCATAAGATTATTTAATAAAGACTATATTTTTCCTTTCAGTGAGCGAAGCACAATTACGTTTGTGCTTCATTGAGCAGAGGGCAGGATTTAGTCCCAAGAGGGCAGGAGTTAGTTTAGTATATGTATTTCTTTCTCTGACCTGTGTTGACTTCCTGTTTTCTTTGGACTGCAGATTAACTGGAAGGTTTTGGAAGATTTTTGTTTGTGTGTTTTCTGATACATAGCCAGCACTATCTATTCATTTCATGCTGATGCACCTGCACTGTGTTGAGTTTCATTAAAATATTTATCATCCAGAAGGCATTTTGAACTAGAAGTATGATAGATTGCGTGTAGGTCCTTTTATTACTTGATAACTTTGTAATGCAATAAATAGAGCTTATTTTTGTATTCTGTCTCCTGTGTGAAATGCGATCTGAGCAGCAAACAAACTGCCATAGCAAAGGATACTGTAATGAAAATAAAATCTGATTTGGGAAGATTGTTCTGGTTTTAGATACGTAAGTTTTTATGCTAGCTTCATTTCAGTTCAGAAGGAATACTATGTATATATAGAGAGAGTGACTAAAGTAACATTATTGAGGGCACAAATAAGTTACAAAGTATCTGAATTAAAACTGCCTTTATTTGGGTTCATTTTAATTTAGGACACCATTGCCAACAACTACCTATATGAAAAGGTAATTTTAAATTCTGTAACCAACGCCTAAAAAAAGCAATAAATAATGCATTTTTTTTAAAGCATGTTCTGACGTTGTGAACAGTCACTTTCTCTCAGTCACAGTCTGTCTGGAATTACCAAGTTGTGTGCCATTAAACTATCAGTGAATTAAACTGTCCCACAAGTTTTGATATGGAAGACTGTGGGTCCCAGTCACGATTTAGTGCTTTCCTTCCCACTCATTTTTTTCTGAAAGTGGTGGTCTTAGAAACAGGCTTATTCTACTTCTGGGTGAGAGTAGTAAAAGAGGGATGTACTGCAAATGTGTCAGAAGATGGGGATAGGTCAAGTCCCCAGTTCTCTTTGTACACGTGCTAGGATGTGTTTGGAATTACTCATTCAGTGTCTGTTGAAGACACATACATGTACCAGACATCCTTCAGCCATAGGATGATGATGTTTTGTGCTAAGTCTATGTTGACACTCTGGATGTCCACATAGGTGTTTTTGTCAAGAGGTTTCCATTTTGCCATTGTTCAGGATAAAATGATTGAGAAGAAATGGTGTAATATAGAAGGCATTTTCTGTGTGATGTAGATAAACACAAAAAAAAGAATGCTCAGTGTGCAGATTCACAGCTTATCGTTGCAAGGCAACTTCCTGCTTCAGCAAGAGTGTAGGATGTTCTAAAGGTGGCATGATACTTGAATCTCTTACTATGAGAACATACAGATTTTGAATTACAATCTGTGTGTCCGTTGTCCGCATCACAAACTGAAAGTGCATGCCTGAGAAGAGTTGTTTTTGCTGTGTGTGTGAGAGGGTGGTATGTTGTTCACCAACTGCAGTTGCAGTGAGTTTGAGTCAGCTGGTGGTAGGTTACTTGTAGCTTTTAATGTGAGGACTAAAACCAATACTAGATAATTCTAGGTTTAAGGATAAATTGAATTAATGGAGGCATACAAAAGAACTACGCTTGGAAATGGTTAAAAGATAATGAAAAAACATCCCAGTATTATGTAGTATTTTTACCACGTTCAACATCTAAGGTTTATTTGTGTTGGACTAAAATTTCTTTTGACATACTGCAGCTAATAGAGGTAATTTAAAGATAGAAAAGTAGTCTGTGCGTGTGATGTGTATACAAAAACTGTTTGTAGTGGTGGTATTTTTATCCTCATCTTGTAAAAGAAAAAGACCAGTCCTAGTTCATGCTTTTTTGTAATGCATAAAACGCGTGGATTTTGGCAGCTGTCTTTTGCCTCTAGGCTTATAAGTAGGTTTGTCCGTGCAAGATGTGTGTAATTACTATGCATGCGTGATCTGTCAGCTGCGGCACCAGTATTGCCATGTAAACTTGGTGCCCTTTTTTATGTAACTGTATTCTCTGTATACCTAGTTTTAAAAGGGTAAATATTATAAACTGGTTGCTCAAGAGCAGTACGCTATAAAAAAAGTAATAAGCGCATCAGTAAAAGTGTTGGAGGTAGTAATAAAACTGCGCTATAATCCTACCAATTTATTGAACTCTGACTATTGTTATCTATGACAATTAACGGCTGCGTATTGTATGTTAACCCTTTGTATAGTAGTTGTATATGGAATGGTACTCAGTATGACTGCAGTGCCTTAAACTTTAGATCTTCAAGCAAATGTGTCGCCTAATTCGATAGTGTTCGCAGTTTCCTTGTTGTTTTTCTCTTTTTGTCTAGCTTTTGCTTTGTCAAAAAAGGACACCCAGTTACTTTGTGGAGAAGATATTTTTCCTGAAAATAAATGTCCTTTTTGCAAAATGAAAGTAAATACATGACTTATTTCAGATTTTTCTTCAATGTCTTTAAAAATAATAATACTGCAAAGGATGGTAAACATTTAAACATTGAAGTCTCTACTTCTTGGATTCGATTTTTTTAAGAAGTTTCATTTGAAAGTATTATAAAAGTGATTACAATGGAATTATATGTCCCTGGACTTCTGAATTCTCTGTTAACTCTGGTGAGGAAATCTAAAGAATCAAGTTTGGTAGAAAGCAACTTGCAGAACTCCTTGCAGTTGGTGATGTGAAGATGATTGGTTAATGATGGCAGATGATACACTGCACGTCCTTCTGTCACTGCTGGAAGAAGGGATTACAATTTCCCCTTTCAGAAACTGCCCATTTCAGGACCTCACCATAGTATTTAAGGACTCAGCAACCACTTGTTCGTTGCAGAGATAGTTGGATGTGAGTATGGTGGGAGGTGTTGGTCCAGGCCCACCTCTCATCTACAGGGGCAGCGTCTGAGCTGGTGCTGGGGCATCCACAGAGGGCCTGCAGGTACCTGCCAGCAGCCTGTCTTTCCGACCTCCCTGTGCTCGTGGTGTGTGGCCCACCTTATGCATGTGGGTGCCCGCTGAAGCGGTTGTCACGGAGTTGTAGTATGGGAGTCCTGCGCAATGCCGGGTGTCAAGCGGTGTGTTTGATTCCTAGAGCAATTTGCATGTGCTTAATGTTCACTGAAAGCTGAGTTGTGTAAGATCAGGAGCGTGGCTGTAAATATTTTAGAAAGTTGTGTAGCGGATGTACGATACTAAGTGAGGTGAAATGATAAAAGATTGCTTCTCATTAAATAGAACATGTCCCTCTTAGTCTAAGATTCAACTTTTCTTAAATTTAACCTTCCAAAAGATGATTGTTTGTATTTAAAAAAACTGTAGTCTCAACTTCCAACTCTTCAATGGTTTGAGAACACATCGGGGCATTTTAATTGTTTTCGGTTGTCTTGGCACAGAGGTGGAGTTTATATATGCTGTTGTAGCTAGCGTCCCTTCATTCCAAGAAGATCTTTAAAATGGCAAGCAATTCCATTTGAAGTTTGGATCTCATGATGTCAATACAGATATGTAGTAAAATGTTCCAGGGTGTGGTAATACTTAACGATTGAGACTTGGGGCATTTCCTGAATATTAATGCTGGATTTGAATGTTGATTGCCCAAGGTGAAATTATTACTCAGTTACTTATTCGCTCCCTTCTCCTTATTTATTGATTGCTAATGCAGAAATGATAAATGCATAGTTAGGTCAGACAATACTTGAAGTATGCTCTGAGGCACAGTGCTCAAGACAGAACGCTTTCACCGCCTTCTTACCTTGCGAATTGCATAATTATCATGTAGTGTGAAAATGGTTGTGTTAATTTTTCCCCCTGTAGTGACTTGATACGTAGTTACACAGCTGACTGTAAGTTGTCCACTGGGATTTTTTCCCTCAAAGTCACTTGGTAAAATTCAGCATTGTCATAGGCTTCTGGTTTCAAATGATGAAGCTGGCAGAGAATTTGCTCTAGTTGTGTAACTGCCACTAAGCGTAAACTGATACGATGCCACACCTTGGATGTACTTTAATACTCAGTCTAGCCCTTAGGAAAGGTTGAGGATTGACTAGC